AAAAGGAATTTTACATCCTTTTTTTCCTTAATAAAATTATTTTATTCTTAGGATTTTGATCCAACAGCCAAAGAATGGAGGGCTGATTTTCTTAGTTATATGCCTCACACCTCAGATCTAGGAAGTGGAGCTATAGAATTGACTACATTTTTATCTCCTTTATTTTTTGCTTTGTGCCAATAAAAATCTAGATTGCGGGATCTCTACATCACTTTCTATGATTAAAGTAGAGGCCATCATCCAAAGGTATCTTTCCAGAACATAGATGGTAGCAATGGTAATAACAAATAGCTATACTAAAAGAGGAAAGTGAGCTTTGTATATATGACTCAGAGGACATGTGGGAGGGGAGAGTTGAGATCTCTGACTGTCATCTCACAAGCTCAGTTTTTCTGGGGAAGGAAGGAAGGAAGGAAGGAAGGAAGGAAGGAAGGAAGGAAGGAAGGAAGGAATTCTTTCCTTGTGTTTTTTGGTAAATCCTGAGATATCACTGTTTCAGTGCAGCATTTCAGTCTGAGATCTTAGCGGTCTTATTTGTCTCTATAAAAGGACACTTTTATATAGTATAGTTTTCTGTTTATTGGGCTCTATATTTTGAGTGTGCTTTTTACTCTAGAACCTGTACAGAGAATATTTGCTCAGGTGTATATATTTAATCTACATTTATATAGACCAACCATCCTCATCCTCATTATTTGCACAAAGCATCTGTGTCTGGAAGATAGGCATTCTGCATCTTATCATCAGAAATTTTAAATCCCTTACGATTTATGACTTTTGACATTTGCATTGTTCTGTAGAGCTGTGCAATGCTTCAGATTCAAAGGGAAGTTCTTTGGAGTGTGCATGGCAACACTTGTAGCACCTGTTGGCAACTCCTTAAATCAGATGTGTGCTTCCTGGGGTTGTGTTGCAGATGTAGGAAAAAAAACCCATAGCTGTTTTAAGCTGATAGGTGCTATATCAGATCTGTGTGTGCTCCAAGCAGTTTTTCCCTCTTAAATCCAAGAACACTGCACAGTTGAAATATTGTCATAAATCCCATAAATGCTATATTTCTTCCTCCGTTGTTATAACAAATCTTGATACACTGTATTGTTTCAAGTGGCTGATGTTTTTAGATATTAATTGGAGATGATTGATATCCTGATATTTAGAAAATTTAGAATATGAAAAATAGACAAGAGAAAAAATAGTATATCAATATTAATTACAATTTTGGATATTGATATTACAAGCATAAAATTATTTGACTTTTTCTTCCAAAATTGAATATAACATTGAAAAAAGTACTGCTGCAAATTGTATCAAAGTTTTGCCATTGCTGTGTATTCTCCAAATTTAAGTTCCCAAACAGATATTATTGGAATTGTATCTTTCTTCCAATGTTGAGCAAAATTTATTCTTCCTGCTCTGAGCAGCCATCTCATTAAATTATGATGTTTCTTGTTGATTTTCCTCTGATATTATACCTATAAGAAATTGTGATTTCATTTCAAACTTAAATCCTAAATTCTGAATAGTATGCATACTATGTTACCATACCATACCATACCATACCATACCATACCATACCATACCATATCATATACCATACCATACCATACTTTAGGTTTTTTTTTTTTTACATGTCCACATATACATATGAGAAAAAATACTGTACTGCTATATTTCTTGTTTTGCCTGGCATAATAATAATCTATGTTACCTGTCTATGTTCAATACACAGCAATTCACCCTAAAGTTAATGCACTCCCAATTTTTCCTCCAGAAAACTGTGCATCTTATTGGGTTTATTTCGTAATTCAGCCTAAGCTGCTTGACAACCATAGTGGTCTCGGCTGTTTAACTTCAGGAATTCAAGTCTAGCTTATGATGGGTTGGCAACAGGGCCAGGCTGATGCTCAGTTGGACATGGCTACCACAAGAACTAATTGGTTATTTCCCCGTTTTTTGGAATGTTCATTACTGTAGCTCGACCAGGGCAACAATATTGCTCTTTCCATTCCTCTAGCTTGAAAATGCAGTCTAGAGTTGAATTCGTTCCAATGTTCTTGACACTTTTCCTCTGTTCATTTAACCCAGGATTGCTGGTTCATGCATAATCTGTGGTCCAACTGTGTGACTCATTTGGCACCAACATAGACCCTGTCTCTCACTCACATACCCACACTTTTTTTCTGATGATCTATTATAGTTCTGATGCTACAATAATCCAAACAATAGGCAACAGGTGGTTCTTTCAATCTGTAACACGAAAGCATGGGAACAAAGTAGTAATGTTCCAAAATTTCAGTTTAAGATGAAAAATAAATAAATAAAAGGGAAGCTATGGTACTGAAGGGGGAATGGAAGGGGGAAAGTACTGGGGTTCAAATGCAAAGATGCCACCTGGAAGATCAAGAGTTGAAGGTAGTCTGAGCTTCCAGGGTCAGCTATGACGGTTCGCTGATGTTCTGTGCAGACAATGTTTATCATGGTCCTATGGTAAATCCCCATTCTTCTTTAGCCGTCCGGGTCCGTTGAAAAACTGAGACATTTTTCAACTGCACTCATATTAATAGCTAACTGGTCATGCTCAGGTATAGTATTTAGAAGCGTCAGCTGGTGGAGAATGCTATATCTGTACTGTATTGTTTAGAAAGAGGTCTGTTCATCGTTTCCAGTTTCTGTATATGTTGTGCATGATTTTCAGAAGTTCATTAAACTTTTGGCATTATTACATTGGTTTCATCTATTTTATTTCATTTTTTTTTGTTCATTAGAACATGTTCATTTATTCAATGGGCTGCTTCAATCAACAATTTCTGAATGATATACAACTCTCCAAATTCATAGTTTATGGTTAAAACAGATGGATACTTAATAGATTTCTAACACTGTACGTTGCCAATAACTATAAAATCAGGAATCAACATTCAAACAACAATAAAACTGTTTTTCTTTTACTTTATTCTTAGTATTATTTTTTTACTTGATCTCTCTCTCCCCCCCCCTCCCCCCTCTCAACTATTTTTCCAACTTGGCTCCTTTTCCTATTAATTTCTCCTAATATGAAATCTTTCTATTACTATTTACATTACTCTAAAGTCCAAAGTATGAATTAGACTGTATTTAGTTTTGCTTTCTTTAATATCAAGAATTCCAACATTCCCCCAAATTCTCACTATTTTGTGCCATACTTTTTAAATTGCTTCTCTTGTGCCTCTTCATGCATCAGAAGCTGTGGTTCTGAGTTCTGGAATGTTCACTTTCAGTTTTTCTGTGAGAGAAGTAATGTTAGAATTGCTTATGTTTTGAAATCTAATAGACAAGCTATATATATTTGAGGCTGGGAGATGAGAACAGCTGGAACAGGTAGAAATCACAGCTGGTAATACTGAGAAGATCAAATGTTCTGCAGGAAGATTCTAAGGGTCAGTTCCTGGCATTTCCAGATAAGAGATGGTAGAATTTGGCCTGCAACTGTTCATCACCAGAATCTCAACCTGGATAACTACAATTTGATTTTGTGAGATTTCAAAGGTTCCCCCCCCCCTTTTCATACCTTAGCAAATCATGTATTCTGTTCACATCACTGGAATGCTATTAGTACTGCACAGATAATCATTATAGTACTCATTAAAAACCCACATTTTAATTCTAAACATCAAACTGTAAAAAAACCCTAAATTAACAAACATTATCATAGAAAGCAATTCAAAATGATTAGTGTATATATGTATGATTAATATGCAATAAACATTATTAACTACTCAAAATGGGAGTTTTCTGCCAGCATATCTTTAAAGGCAAAATACTACATTTGAGTCTAATTTTCATAAATACTACAAGTCATAAATTAACTTCAAATCAGGAGACAGTTTTTCAGCCACCAGATTACAGAATCTTCTAGGCCTGTAACGTTTAATTCACTGCTTCGGCTATTCTTTTTAGATGGAAAGAGTAAAACTGAAGGGATCAAGAGCTGAGATCTAAATTAATAGTTATGTATTAAAAGTGCTATGATTAGAATATTGTGTTAGTGATGAACTGTTGTAATGAACTGGGCGAGAATGAACACAGAAGAAACAAAAAGAAGAATTTTTGGAGACAACACTGAGATGTCACATGGAAAGAATAACTGATGTATTAAATGTTTGTTTATCTAAAAAATAAAAAAAACTTTTTTTAAAAAAAGAGCTGAGATTTATGTATACAATTAGTTTCCACCCTTTCTTCTTTAATTTGGGGAATTAAAGTTAAAGAGATTTGTTTACACAACAAATGAAGTCCCTCCCACAAGATAAACCTCATAAGCTTTATGAGCCTCGGTGGTGCAGCGGACTAAAGTGCTGTTAAGTGCTAGCCCTTAGCTGCCAGCTGCTGACTCCCTTAGCACCGAACTTCCAGCCCTTGTGCATCAGCCTATTAAATTGGGGAAAGGTGGCAACAGCACTCCTGAGGCCTTTTCGGGAATACTGAAGATGGAGGTTAGTTCCAAGCCGCTTATTCAAGTCCATAAAAATCAAATTTTTCTCCCTACAAGCGCATAGCAATTTTGGAAAATGGCCGTCACCTTCCATTTTTCCAGTTGGGTCCATTTATCTTACTGCGATTCTCCAGTGATTTTTTTTTTTTTTTTGCTCGAGAAGCGCACACCTGGATCCTGCTGCGCTTTCCAAAAGAGGCAGATGCAACCCTTTCATGCAGGATTCAGCTTCCAGAGCAAGAAGTGGAGACGTGTAATTCAGGTCACCCTATCTGGGGTTGCCTTTATTCGGACAACCATTAAAGTGCATCCAATGATACTATTGTCTAGCACGGAATGGCCGGATTATTATTATTATTATTATTATTATTATTATTATTATTATTATTATTATTATTATTATTCAGATATTGTAGTTCTGTCCCAAACGCCCATGCTTTGAGTTAAAGAAATTTTTTTCTTTAACGTTGCTGATGTTGCCGCTGCCGCTGCCATCGCCGTGGCTCATTTATCACCGGGAAAACGCGGCGCGGCTGCTGCACTCCTCCCGCCAGACTGGCGGAGAGACCCGGGCCTCCCGGGAAGGAGCACGGAAAGCGGCTCGCGCACAAAAGCAGGTGCACGCTCCGCCTTCTCATTGGCAGCAGCTGCTGCAGCCGGCGCCGGAGCCTCGCGGGCCTTTGGCTCTTCGCCCCGCCCACCCCTGCAGCCAGGTAGGATGAGCGCGAGCGGTGGCGCGCGCCGCGAGTGTCTCTCAGTCCTCCTCCGCTAAGCAGCCGAGGGCAGTGCGGCGGAGGCGGGCGGGAGTCGCGGTGAGCCCGGCTGGGGAAACGACGGAGGCTCCATGCAGGCAGGCAGCCCTCAAGGTAAGGACCCTCAAGCCTAAAGGAGCCACTGTAAGAGCCGGCGGGGGGCGGGGAGGAAAGGCAAAAAAAAAAAAAAAAAAAAGACAGGCGAATCCTGGGGCTCGTCGCGAAGGAGGGGTTGGGGGCGAAAGAAGGTGCGACGTGAAGGGAAATAACTTTACAGTGTTGCTTCCACCCCCATCCCGGTTTTCTTTTTTTTTTTTAAATACTGCCTTAGGAGGAGATACTCAGAGGTGCTCTTTTGCAAATGACCAAGCGTATCTTCGGAGGAACTGGAGGTGGGAGGGGGCGGGGTTCAGTTGGAGAAAAACTGTGTCGTGTTGTCTACCCGAGTGCCAGCCAGGGGGGACGTGGACACAGGTCCGGCGTGTCCATTACCGCCGGGCACTTTTTTTTTCCCCCTGCGCCGGGAAAAGAAAAAAAAAAAAAACCCCAAAGGATTGCATTTTCCCGAGGTGGATCCGTCACATTTCCGGAGAGACCCGAAAAGCGGGGGAAGAATTGTTTTAAGAGACCGGTTTTTTTCCCCCCTCTTCTTCTTTTTGTACCGCAGTGCTCCCATCCTGCCAGCAGGGAGCGCAGAAGAGCCGAATGGGGGTAATTTGGTTGGGGGATGGCTTCGGTTCCATTTGCGGGCAAGAAGCCCAAGAAAAGTGTGCCCCCCCCCCATCTCCCGTCAAGATTCTGAGTGGGGGGGGGGAGTTGCGCGGAGGAAACTGCCCCCTCCTTCTACCCCCTCCCCCCCCCACTCCCACGCTAAAGCAGATTGCCTGCTCTGTTTGCAGACCGTTTCAATCCGGATGCCCTTTGCGGATGAAAGATGTATCATGGAATGAACCCGAACAGCCGGGATCCGTTCCTAGAGCAGCCGCTGCCGCCGCCGCCTCCACCGCTGTTTCAGCGTTGCCAGTCTAAACTCTCCCTGGTGGTCTTGTGGTTCCAATTGGCGCTGTGCTTTGGCCCTGCACAGATCACAGGCGGTGAGTGAGCGGCTGGTTCGTGTGACAAGCGGTAGCAAAAAAAAAACAACAAAAAACCCCAAACGCCCAGCTATGAGGAGGGCGGGAGGAGGGGTGAGAGAGCTCAGGCTGCTTCTGGCAGGCAGGTCCTCCTTCGCGCGGGAGGAGGCAGCCTCTGGCTATTGATCTGATGGGCACAAAATGCTGAAACGGGAAAACATCCTCCCACAGCCTTGCCTGCCTTGCTGCTTCTGGAGTCAGTGGATTGTGAAAAGAGAAAGGCTTGAAGGTAAAATCCTGGTTTTCCTCTCATTCAAATCCATTAGAGGAGCGACCTCTTAAATGGCTGCATCCTACCCAGGTAAGTTAAAAGGGGTCCTCCTTAAAATAAATAAAGTCCCGCAGAAGAAGATACTTCATGTAGAAAGCTGTAAAAGAATTCTTACCCTTCAAAGATACTGAAAATAGGACTAGGAAAGTGCATCTTCATTTTCTTCTCTTATGCTTCTAACTAGAAAGTAAGGAACAATGCAATTATTCTGTTTCTATTTTAGAGAGAGAGAGATACACTAATCCTCTCTGGAACAATTCTTTCCTTGCTCTCCTAAGTAGATATTACAAAGTTCAGTTATATATGCTGTAGAAAAGTTACCTTCCAATCCACATTAATAAATCCTCCAATTATTATAAAATTCCACTTAATATTAATATCTGGAACACACTCGTGCAAAGTTTTCTTTAAAATTGGATTTCTTTTAAAACTAAGCTTTAATATTGTGGTACATTGTCCATTTCCAAAGGAAAAGGCTAGATAAAGGCACCCATTCATGTTGAGAAAAATTAGGAGTTAGTGGTTGTTTCTTATTTGGCCAGACAGAGATAAGTAGCAGCTGTATCTTTTTGGGCAGTCTTTGCATGTTGGGTGACCTGGAAGTTGAATGATCCCACTTTATAAAATGAAAAAGGACATCACACCATTGCCCTCGTTTTGTTTAATCATGCTGTCCTGAGTTCCAAGTATTTATAAAGAGAAAATTTTCATCCAGGAATGTTTTAGTCTCCAAAAATGATGTTGGTAAATGTCCCAGATGTAAGGATGGACATACCTTACCTATCCATATTATAAAGATAGCCCATCTAGGACTGCAGTTCAGGCTACCTGGGGCTACAGTGAAGACAATTAGGAGATTTCAGTTGTCATAAGTACAGCTGTCCAAGTGTTTCTGATCACTATTGGACAAGTGTTTGTCCAATCAATCTCAAGGACTGCTTTCATTCGTGCCAACCAACCTGCTTATTAAGTTCAATAACTGGCTGTTGTTACTTGTCCATCTTTGCTTTAGCTGATCAAAAGAGTGTCTTGTCCTCACAAGGGGATAAGGGGTTACTATAGAAACTTCATATATCCAAGGTCCTAAATACTGTATTGGTTCTTTCTGGTCTTTTCTTTAAGTGGGTTTAATTAAGCTGTTCTGATATTAACTGTACTGTTGATTTTTAATATATGGGTTAAACTGATCAATGCTGGCTTTTCTATGTGTTTTTATTTTATTGTACTGTTGATAGCCACTTTTGGAGGACTTCTGTCTACAATATTTTTTGAAGATAAATAGAACTATTTATAGTAGTATAAACTGATTGTTGCATTTTAGCTTTTAGATATTATATTTGCAGATTTCTCTTTTTGAAATGTTAGGGTTGCCTATGATCTTGTGAGCTACTCAGAAGGGAAATAGTATGTGAACACAGCTCTTCCTATGTTCATTTTAAAACTAAAATGAAATGCATTCCTTAATTTGAATTAGATTGTGAGGAAAACAAAACCCTTTTTAGTTTCGGTGCAATAAAATGCTTTGAACAATCCTACCATAAACCATTTCCTAATTGGATCATGTTGAACCTCTCATTTAGTGAGAAGAAAACTGTTAGTTGAAGGAATTGTGTAGCTTTCTCATGTGATGTATGTTAACACAGATGCAGTTTTTAATGTTAAAATTAAATAGTCTGGCTTTTGTTTAACAGCAGCCTCAAGGTTTGATAGTCAAAAAGATGACCCCATTGTTCATTTATAACGTTTTGTCAATTAGAGTTTTTGTATGTTTCTTAATGAAATCACAGTGAAATGAGGTCTGAACCTAAAACTGAATTAAGTGAGTTTAAGCTTTGTAAAGTCAGCTGAGCTTTGACCCAAAGTATCCTCAAAAGCTATTTGGGTATTTCAACAGCATACCCAAGGAAATAAACAAAAAAAAAATCACATATATTTCAGCCTACAGAAAAGTGAAGTTAGGATGCATTAGCAAATGTGAATTTAGTTACGATATAGTTTGGTTTTCTTTGAACCAGCCAGCTGCACAAAAATGCAGAGGGTGCTATAGTAAGATGGAGTATGTGTTCAGAGCATCTCTTGCATTGAAAGAATCGATATAAGCACCAGTTGAATGTTTGCATTAAACAGAATCCATTAGTTGCATCTTGGAACATTTTTTCCTGTTCCAAAACCCCTCGTTTTTCCTCATTGCCATTTCTTTTTATATTTATGCTTTTGCCTTCTCTTTCACTTGCTTGTTCAGGGTCTAATCTCACTTCTTTTGGCTTTTTGTTATTTATTTGCCTCAGACATTTCCTTCTCCCCTTCCTTTCCAAAATTATTCATGTTCTTTCTTCTCTCCTACATTTGAATCAGAAAGTACAGCTAATTTTTTGCTGGATCATAGAAGCACTTTCAAGCCTTTGTTATTTTCCTGCCTTTTTCAGGTGCCTGCACAAATATGTTGTTTTTTGGGGTGCAGTGGAGGGTATGACTTTGAAACTGTGTGTTCAGGATTCATCTAATCATGTGGGGTTTTTTAATGCTCTATTTGCTTGTAAAGCTGTCAGCACACATTGGGATAGAGTTCAATATTTGAAGGAATAAAATCTTCTAATTGGGAGTGAAATCTTTTAATGTCTTGTATTATTATCCCAGTTTTAAAAACAGATCTTTTGCCACTATTCATTCTGTGCATATGGCAGTCCTCTGCTTACTGTACCCAGGAATTCCTTTAAATATAATGACATCTGTGTAAGTATGTGTTTGTATACATATATATGCACACAAGGACATGCATACTTTTCTTATTCCAAAAATTTTCAGAAATTATGCTGGAAGAATACTGAACAGGTAGTCTTCAACTTGCAACCATTCATTTAGCAACTGTTCAAAGTTGCAAAGTCACTGAAAAAAGTGATTACAAATGGACTTTGCACTTAAAGACTATTGCAGTGTCCCCACAATAACATGCTCAAAATTTGTGCACTTGGCAACCATCCTTGTATTTATGATGGTTGCAGTGTCCCATGGTCATGTAATCACCATTTACTTTCCAGCCGGCTTCTAACAAACAAAGTTAATGGATGGAAGCCAGATTTGAATCTTAACAACAGATTCAATTAACTGCAATTATTTGGTTAACCATTGCAAAAAAAGGTGGTAAAATCAGGCATAACTCACTTAATAACTGCCTTGCTTAGCAACAGAAGTTCTGGTCCCATTTATCATAACTCGAGGACTATCTGTATACCGATAATACGAAAGAGCCTAAATAAGAACCAGTATCATGTAGTGATTAAATATGGAGACCTGAGTTCTAGTTCTCCTTTAGGCACAGAAGCCAGCTGGGTGACTTTGGGCTAGTCATCTCATTTGGCCCTAACCAGAGTCAGGCAGGGTCTGTGATAAAGCTGGCTGAAAAACAAAACCCTCATTGCATCATGGATTGCTAAAATTTGCTGTAAGAACTAGGCAAGTACAGTGTACAATAAAAGCAAACAAACTTGCAACTAAAGAGAAATACTAAAACAAGTACAACAAAAAAGCACTGGATGTTTTAACAACGGAATCTGGACTTTATTAATGTTTGAATTCTTTGCTGTAGGAAAAATATTTTTTCTTAAATATTCTACATATTTTATACAATACAAAATGAGTGTCAAGAACACAGGATGGAAACAAATTTCTGTAATATACTATTTTGCATCAGAGCAATTTTATTTATCAGGTTACCCCATAGATTGTTTTGACTTAGTACTGCATTGATACTGTGTTAAAGAAGCTGTAGTTGCCCGAGTCTTTCATAAATCCTAAAAACATAAACTATGATTTATTAAGAAAACCAAACACGTATGTTCCCAGGGAGTGATGTTCCATGACAAGTAAAACATTTTTGCAGTTATGTGTACATACAGTATGCTCAGAATGTTCTGGAAAATTTCAGAACAAACAGTATTTAAGAATGTAGAACAACATACTTTCAGAATGTAAGTTCTGTAATGCACATTAGTTTTCTTCTTTACATGTATATATAGGGCTCACTGCAAGTCTGTGCATGTGGAAAATATTCTCACAGACCTTTTTATAGCTCTTCTTCATCACTTTCTTTGTACCAGTTCTTAGTTTTACTGCTAATAGAGAAGTAAATGTGCTCCACAACATTGCTGGCTGTTCTGAATAATGTGCTTTGCATTTAGTTATCCAGTAACCTACTTTCTTTAGAGACATACCAGTGTGACAGTCTTTGAAATGAGTACCTTAATGTTGGGATTTCTAAGGGGAGGGGGAAATGGTATTTGAGAAGTGTGAGAGACAATTATTACTGTGGATTTTTGGATCTATTTTAGAAAAAGTCATAGTGTGGTAACATTCCTGGTCTTCAGATTTGATAAAGAAGTGCAATAGACTCTTTTTTTTTTTGGATTCTTTGATAAATGTACTACGTTTATGCTAAGCTACAAGACGAGAGAGCTATGGAATTGGGGCACGCAGATGATCTGGCTGTTACCCTATTACGGTGGTTGGAATTAATAATTTGGATGTAAGACACCACTATAGACACTATATGGAATACAAATATAAAGTCACTCGGGTGTTTTTTTTTTTTAGAAGATATTTGTTATTGATGGGGGCAGATGGTAATTGAAGATACCGAACATACTGTTGGAATTAGGATGTGATGTTACCCTAACATGGGTGATGGAGTTAA